CGCAGGGCCGCGGGGGCAGCCGGGAGCACGTTCCCTGGCAACGGGGTTGACTGGGCCAGTGGCGAACGACTCCGCTGCGGGCTAGAGCGGCCGAGTCGCAAGTGTTGGCCACCGAGGCGTGGCGGAAGTGACGTAAGCTTCCGGGGCGGGCGGGGCGCCCCAAAAATCCTCTTTCGGGGTTATCTGCGGCTCGCATGGAAGGTTCGTGAGGGTCCGGTTCCCCGGGGGCGTGGGTTGAGGATCTTACCGCTTAACTGAGCGCTGGCCGAAGACCGGGAGCTCCTTGCCCAGCCTAGCCGGCTGCCCCGCGCGGGCTCTCCAGTCGGCCCGGCAGCCTGTCCATGTGGCCGAGAATTTTTCACGTGTGGAAAGACAGCTAAACGGGATGGTGTATGCAGTGTGTCAGCGATCTGACACTCCAGTTGTAATTCCTGCCGAGCGTGGTGGCGCACGCCTGTAATCCTAGCACTCGGAAGGCTGAGGCAAAAGGATTGCTGAGTTCAAGGCCAACATGGGGCTGCATAGTGAGTTCAAGGCCAGTCTAAACTACATAGCGAGTCTCTGTTTCACAAACAACAAAAATTGTATTTTTTTTTTTTTTTTGTCCTGGTACCGGGGATCGAACTCAGGATCTTGCACTGAGCTACATCCCTGGCTCTGTAATTCCTATTGTTGTTGGTTTTGTTTTGTTTTGTTTTTTTGGTACTGGGGATCAAACTCAGAACCTTGCGTTTGAGAGTCAGGCTGCAGCACCACTGAGCTAAATCCCCAGCCCTTATTATTCCTTTTTCAGACAGGTATTGCAAAGTTGCAGAGTCACTAAATCGCCCAGTCTGGGCTTGAATTTTCGATTCTTCTGCCTCTGTTTCCCAGTGCTGGGATTACAGACCTGCATCACCACACCCAGCTTCAAATTGTAATTGTGGTCCTTATGAATTAGCATAATGAAGCAGTTGGTGCCAAGCTTTGCATGTTCAGCCCCTTCAGAACCCTTTCCCTGAATTCCCACAATCAGGATGGCTGCTGCAGAACCTGCTTCTGAAGAAAAGCGCCTCTCAAAGTGTCGCCTGGTGCCCAGCAGTGTCCAATGCTTGCAGCTGAGTGGTGATCCTGAGCAGTGACAGTCATACCTCACTCTGTGTGTCCCAGAATGACTGATTACTTGTCTCTCCCTGCCACCCTGGGAGCTTCTTGAAACCGAGCTGTTTCTGATTCCTAAATACATGCTGGGTATCGGGTAGACAGGAGCAGATGATGAATCAGGTGTGATCCTCGGGAAGAGAGGCCCCTGCACAATTATAGTAAGAGAAGTTATGCCATTTAACAAGTTTTATTCAGCACCTACTATGTGCAGAGGGCATGAGAGGAAACGGGTAGAAAGTCCCCACATGGGTGCACCCCACAGAGACATTAAACAAGAAACACACTGCTGCTGACTGTTGTGGTAGCAGAAGTATAGATCCCTGATACAGTGAGTCCAAATCCTACTGGGGATCTGGGAAGACTTTCCAGCAGCGAGAACTATTGCACAAGGCCCAGGGGTTCATCTGGACTGGAGGTGGAGAGATAGCCAGGCCTGAAGGGAGTTCCTGAATCATGGCCAGGCAGGGACTCTGTGCCTCTGGCATCTGCCTTCTCTGTGAATGATGGGCTCATGAGCTGAAAAGCTCTGTCCTTTAAAGCCTCAAAGTGCCTGAGACTAGAGCTGGTGAGACGGTTCACACTTGTCATCCCAGCACTCCTGAGGCTGAGGCAGGAGGGTTGCCATAAATATTGAGGCCCTGTCCCACTCAAGCAAAAAACCAAATAAATTAATAATAAAAATGTTAAGTAAATAAAAATGTTAAATTGTCTTTGTCTCGTTTCAGGAACTTGTCCTCTTCTAGGCCTCCTAGTTTGTGCTAGCTGATGCAGCATTTCCAGCTTCTTGGGGGAAGCATTTGCCCCCAGGCTCTGAAGAGTTCTCCCTAATGGCCCTGTCTCTCTCTCTCCCTATTAGCAAAGGCACTCGGAGCTGCAGCACCCCGGAAGCCTGTCTTACCTGTCAGTGCAAGAAGAATTAAGGACAATGCAGCCGATTGGCACAATTTAATCCTGAAATGGGAAGCCCTGAATGACGCAGGTTTCGCCATAGCCAACAGCATTGCCAACCTGAAAATCAGCTTACTGTAAGTCACTCCGGGGCCTCTGGCTCAGAGCTTCCCCTCCGCAATGGGCTCAGACCTCATGGGAGGCATTTAGGGTGAGGACTTGTTGACATTAACAAATTTTGAAATAAAATAGCAAGCTAGAAAAGTGGTGAGATGAGATGTGGAAGTATGAGCTGTATGTGCACATTTTAAATACGAAATCATGGCTGGGTATGGTGGCGCACGCCTGTAATCCCAGCACTTGGGAGGCTGAGGCAGGAGGATCACTGTGAGTTCGAGACCAGCCTGAGCTACATAGTGAGTTCCAGGTCAGTCTCAACTATACAGTAAGACCCTGTCTAAAAAAAAACAAAAAACAAAAAAAACCAAATAAATACAAATCATGCAACATATTATTCGTGGCCACATCAGTGCATAAATTTACACAATGGATTGGAAGGACAGGCTCACCCATGGCACTGGTATCTTCTAGGTAGAATGGGTGTTGGGGGGTAGGTAATGGGACTTCATGTTCATACTGTTTCATGTTACAGTTTTTTTTTTTTTTTTTTTGGTTTCTACGTAGTTGAGACTGACCTGGAACTCACTGTGTAGCCCAGGCTGGTCTCGAACTCACAGCGATCCTCCTGCCAGCCTCCCAAGTGCTGGGATTACAGGTGTGCACCATCACACCCAGCCAGTATTCCTTTTTAAAAAAACTTATTTTTATTTCTTTTTTTTGTTTTGTTTTTGAGATAGGGTCTCACTATGTAGTTGAGACTGACCTGGAACTCACTTGGTAGCCCAGGATGGTCTCAAACTCACAGCTATCTACCTGCTTCAGCCTCCCAAGTGCTGGTATTACAGGCGTGAGCCACCACGCCCGGCTTTTATTTCATTTTTTTTAAACTGAGTCTCACTCTGTTAGTCTTGAATTCCTGGGCTCATGTGATCCTCCTGCCTCAGCCTCCCAAGCACCTTAAGAGTACTGATGTGTACTACAGCACCTAGATCATTTCATTTCTTTATCTTTTTTAATTTTTATTTTGTGGGGGAGGGTCTTACTATGTAGTTCATCTTGGCTGAGAATTCACTATTGCAGCCCAGGCTGGCCTTGAACTCCCAGCAATCCTCCTGCCTCAGCCTTCCAAGTGCTGGGATTATAGTCACGTGCCCCCACACCTGGCCTAGCTCAGTTTAGTTCGACAGAGGAATTAAGAAGAACATTGTTAGCAGCCATCAGGTCCAAGTGAGGCTTTGCCTTATTGCCTTTGTGTTTTCCTGTGTGTGCTGTGTATGTAAACTTCTCGAAGTCGCATTAAAAGCACACGGATACCCCTCAGCTTGCCTGTCCACCAGCAACGATAGCTCATCAGCCTCATCCCTGGTTCTCCGGACTCCCCTCCAACACTGCTGCTTGTTTGGTGCCATCCCACTCAGCAAGTTCCAGAAACAGCTCCGGCTTTACTACTTCAGTGTCTTCTGATATTTTGTATTTTCTCCTTTTTTGGTGTTTTTGTTTTGGTTTTAGACAGGTCTTGTGTGGACCAGTCAAGGGCTTGCTAGCATGTTTAAGGCCCTGTGTTTAATCCACTGTACCCTCGGGAGGCTGAAGCAGGAGGATTGATGCAAGTTTGAAGCCTGCCTTAACTACACAGTAAAACCCTGTCTCAAACAAACAAAAAAAATAATCCATAGTACCTTAAGAAATAATAATTAACCTTGTGCTGTAATGGCACAAAGCAGTGTCAGTGCAAGATGACTGGCTCAGTCATGTGGGTAGTGAGTTTTCTAGGATAATTTGAAGGAAACAGGCAGACCTGAGCGATCCATCCTCATTGTCCTCTGTTCTCCAGGAGTAAAGACAAGGCAGAACCGGAGAGCAGCAGGCCAGCCTCTGGGGAAGATGAAGGAAAGACATACCCGTACTACGACAAGGAACTCGAGACACTGTGTGAGGAGCTACAGGCAACCTTGAAGGGTCTGGTGAGGCGCCAGCTGCCTGTGGTCCCTGTCACCAAGTCCCACAGACCTGTGTGGGGTTTGCTTTACTGCCAGCACATTTGGCACCATAGTGACCCTTTCCTTCTCTGGTCATCTGTTCCACTCCGCATTCCATAAGTTATTTATCGTTGTTGTTTCTTTTTTGGTGGGGAGTTAAGAAAGGGTCTCACTGAGCCAGAGATTTAGCTTAGTGGTTCCACCACCTGCCTGACAAGCACAAGGTCCTGAGTTCAATCCCCTGTACCAAAAAATAAAAAGTGTTGCAGGGCGTGGTGGCACACACCTGTAATCCCAGCACTCAGGAGGCTGAGGCAGGAGGATCGCTGTGAGTTCGAGACCAGCCTGGGCTGCATAGTGAGTTCCAGGTCAGTCTCAACTACAGAGTGAGTACATAGTGAGACCCTGTCTCCAAAAAACAAAACAAAACAAAAAAAAAAAGTGTCTCACCAGATAGTCTGGGTGGGCCTTGAACTAGTGATCCCCCTGCCTCAGCCTCCCTGGGATTACAGGTGTCCATCACTGTGCATGGCCACCCCACAAATCTTGAGGCACTGTCCTGGACCCTTCTCTTCCTGCCCTGGGCGTTGTCCAGGCTATTTTCACTCCCTTCCAGGGTCACAGAGCTAAAATGTGAGCCCAGCTCGGAAACTCGGCACTCATGCTTGGGAAGCTCTTCCCAAGCACTGGCAGCCCAGGCTGAGGACCTGGCTGTCCAAAGGCTGAGGTCCCACACCTGTCCAGCTCCCTCCCCTCTCCCTGGACATGGCTGTCTGCAGAGGTAATGACATCAGTTTTACAATTCTAGTTTCAACTCTGGACTTCTTAGCTTTGAAATTTTAAAGTTATGGAATTTGAGACTGGAGATGTCAAATAGTATTCTTACATTCAAATTATCTTTTCAGACCAAAATACAGGTGAAAATGGAAAAGCTGTCTTCAACCACCAAGGGAATCTGTGAGCTAGAAAATTACTACTACGGGGAGGACAGCAGACGGCCTCCTCTGTTCCACACCTGGCCCACGGCCCACTTTTGTAAGTAGCTCTTTGATGCTGATGTATGGGAGGACAGAAGTTATAAGAGCATGTAGTATCATTTAGACCAGGGACTTAGGACAGGAGGGGGCTCCGTAACACTCCCACTGGGTGTGGGACATATGCTTATGACCCACCACTCTGGAGGCTGAGGCAAAGGATATGTGGATTTAAGGCCCACCTGGGCTCCACATTGAGTTCCTGTCTCCTGGCGCCCCGCGTGTTTCAGATGAGGTCTCCAGCAAGCTCTCCGGCATGTACAGGCGGGAGCTGCTCCTGAAGTGCACAGTGGGTGCGGAGCTGGCCCACACCGTAGACCAAGACCTGATCCTGAGCTACCTGTCCATGTGGCTACACCAGCCCTACGTGGAGCGCGAGGGCCAGCTGCTTCTGGAGACCATGCTGCTGGAGACTGGCCACCGCGTACTGTGACCCCGCTGGTCCACACAGGGCCCCACAGCCACCTTGGGAACCTGGAAGCTGCCACCTGGGAGCCCCTCTCCGGGACAGAACTGGGTCCCAAACAGGACCGTGGGGATCTCGCTTGTGTCACTGAGTGCACACTCGTGCAGAAACTCCTCCCTTCATAGCTTCACTGTGTTCCAGCCTATATTTAAGTTTTTATGAGAATGTATGAATTCCCTAATTAGGAATAGCATATAAAGTTGCGTGGAGTTTGGCATCCTAGAGACGAAAGCTACCTCTCCACAGTTGCCACGGTGTGCACGCTGAAGGAGCGGGTGGCAGGCCAGGAGGAGCCCGGGTGTCCCACCACACATGCTCTCTGTGACCCTGCAACACCGAATAAACACAGCATGGGGGTTGGAGCCTGGCCTTGAGCACTCCAGGCAAATGCTCCACCCCTAAGTGACATCTCCAGCCCCTTCCAAGTGAGCTTTTGTGCCATTTCAGTTTTTTGACGTTTAGTACATGCTACTTCACTAAGTTTATCAGAACTTTCTTCGTGGTACCAGGCTGGCCTGAAATGTGTGAGCCTCCTGTCTCAGCCTCCTGAGTGCTAGAATGCCAGGTGTGCACCACCATGCCTGGCTCATCCAGATTGACGTAACTTTAATTTACCAACTAGAGAACTCTCAACCATTTCCCTGCTTTGTCCTACAGTGAGGAAACGCCCAGGTTCTATGACCACTGCTCATTGGCAGTGGTGGGTGCACTCCCTTTGGTACCCTGGACTCCTGCACCCATAGGTGCAGCCTCAGCTTCTGTTTTCTCCCCGCTCTCCTGCTCCTGCTAGGAGCTCAGCCCTGTGGTCAGAATACAGGTTCAAGCCCAAATCAAAACCTTACCAGAGAAATGGGCCAGGGGCAAGATGGCCAGCTCGGTGGACCCACAGAGTGGACAGTACACACGCAGCCACATGCACATCACAGAAGCACAGCGTGAGCTTCAAGTGTGCCAATTTCTTCCTCAGAGGAGGCAATCTAAGGGACTTTGGGCTGAGGAATAGGTGTCACCCTGTAACAGGGAAGCTCAGGCTCCAAAGAGCAGATGCTTCTAGAGAAATAAAATAGGCTCAAAATACAAGACTACAAGCCAGGCATGGTGCACACCTGTAATCCCAGCACTTGGGAGACTGAGGCAGGAGGATCACCCCAAGTTCTAGCCAGGAGCCAGCCTGAAGTACATATCGAGACTGTCTCAAACAAATCCCAAAAATGACTGACAGACTCAAAAGTACTGAGTTTTTACTAAGCTCTAGCCCACTATAGGCCCCAGTAAGTCACCCCATCCTTGGGCCTCACTTTTCCCACCCAGAAAACATAAGGAGAATCTGGGTGTGGTGGCATATACCTGAAATCCCAGCACTCAGGAGGCTGAGGCAGGAGGATCACGAGTTCAAGCCTGGGCTACATAGTGAGACCCTGTCTCAAAAGAAGAAAACTTTTTCCTGCAGAGACAGCTTGGCTTCCAGTCCTAACAGATGTAGACCAAGTCTGGTGACACAACAGCAGGTTCCCAGGAGAGGGGACACTTTCTTGAAGGAGCGCGGTGTTGCAATCAAGCAACAGCTGCATGATCCTGAATGCAGTCACTGACCACTGCCAGATCAGCTGTCTCTGGAGGACCTGTCTTACTGTAGAGCGCCAGGGACGGTTGGACAGGAGTGGAGCAGACGTAACTTTTTTTTTTCACTTTTGTTTTTAATTCTTTGGTGCAGAAAACCAAACCCAGGGCCTCACCCTTGTTAGACAAACATTCAACCACTTAAAATCCCCAGCTCCAAATACTTCTGAGTTGAGAGAAATCTATGTACCAAAGGGCCACGCCCTGCCAAATTAGGGTACCTAATAGTTTTTGTTTTTGGACACAGGGACTACATAGCCCAGGCTGGCCTTGAACTCATGGTGATCCTCCTGCCTCAGCTTCCTAAGTGCTGGGATTATAGGTGGTCGCCACCATGTCTGGCTCTAGACATTACAATGTACACCCGAGGCTCATCTGTGTCAGGGTTCACATTAGAAAACTACCGCTGCCCACCACAGACTCCAGATAAACAAATACAGCCCATGCCTCTGCCAGCCTCACTGCCAGGGCTCTGCCTACACAGTGAGGGTGGTGCCTGCTGCCACAAGGTTGATGCCTTCTGAGGTCCCGATGTGCAGGCCACACCCTGCCGCACCAGTCACTGGAACAGTGCTGTCCCAGGACACTGCCTGTCAGCAGCGGTCTCAGTGAAGACCTGCCGGCCCTAAAACAACGCCTCCAGGTACCCATTTGTGATTTCAAAAGCCACGGTGTGCCCCAACAGCAACTACATGCCCCAGTCCATCCCGCGGAGAAGATGCAGCAGGTCCCCCTGCGCAGCTTCCTGTAGTCAATGGTGACCCGTCTGGGTCAGACCTGTCAGCACAGCCCCCTGGCCTGCAGTCCACAGGCAAGAGCTCTTCATGTGGTGGGGCCCTGTGCCTGGCACCTTCAGCTTCTCCCACTGGTGACGGAGTGCTAAAGACTCCAGGGCTCCCTGGGGCGGCCCCAGGGTCAGGAAAGCTGTCCTCGGGCTCTCCGAGCTGGGCACAGGGAGCTGGTCTGCAGCCGTCCCCACATGGGACAGCAGGCCCTGAAGGCCCACGTCTGGCTTCAGAATCAGCAGATGCCCTGAACTGTGGATGTGGGTGTGACACACTTCTGTCACCACCGGAAACTGTCATCCCACAGCTGCCTTCGCAATGGGGAGGGGCACAACCTAAACAGATCAGAAAAACAGGTGAGCATACATGTGCGTAAGAGCCTATTCAACTCAGCAAGCTGGGCCAAACCAACTTTCATCTATTCACAAAGGCAGATTTTGTTTTAAAAATGTGTCCCAGCTAGGCATGGTAGTTTATGCCTGTAATCTTAGCACTCAGGAGGCTGAGTCAGGAGGATCACCATGAGCCAGGGCTATGTAGTGAATTCAAGGCCAGCCTGAACTATGTAGAGACCCAGTCTCAAAAAAACAGTGCCCTGGGGCTGTGGATTTAGCTCAACGGTGGTGGCCTGCCTTGCAAGCGCAAGGACCCAAGCTCAATCCCTGATACCAAAAAACAAAACAAAACAAAAAAACAACAGTGCCCTGGGAGCCAATCAGTGGTGTGCTTTCCTTTTTTTTTTTTTGGTATGGGGGAATCAAACTCAGGACCTTGTGCTTTTGAGGCAGGGGTGGCACCACTGAGCTACATCCCCACCCAGCAGTGTGCTTTTATTCTGTGGCTGAGTTTAAGTATAGGAGTGATCACTGGGCTTCTAAACTCAGGAGGAAACAGCAGGGAGGGAGCCAGAGCCATCACCACCCTGGCACACCTGCCTTCCCAGGCAGGGAGTTCTAAACTCCCACTTCTCTTGGGAACCTGGGTGCAGGCAGGGACAAGGCCTTGGTAAGGCCACACAGGCTGGGGGGCCATGTCCACCACCAAATGTGCGCGGAGCCTAGCAACAGTGTCTCCAGTCCTGAGAAAAAGCCAGGAGGAGCCCTGTTTTCCTGTGTGACTCTTGGCCATCAGTGCCACGTCTCGTGAAAGCCACGCCTCAGGACTGTGTCCTTGGGGTCAGCTCTGCCGACCTCTAGGGACCTTGGATACAGCCCATTCCCCAACACAGGGTGACTCCTCCCTCTAAAGGGACCCAAGGCCTGAGGACTCAGGGCTGAGCACCAGAGACGGGGGCTCCCCCACCCCTGCACCTGGGGCACATCTGCACTGCATTACCCTCGCCGGCAGTGGGCACACACAGCCCAGGCATCTCCCAGCCTCCACCATGGGCAGCAGGGGCCTCAAAGCTGCCCCAGGACCTCCTCGCCACAGGCACTTCCTGCGCAGACTGTGGAGAGAGACACTGGCTGAGACTAGACCCACAGCAGCCCCACTCCTGCCCCCAGGAGACCACTGGGAACCCAACACCACTGGACACAGCCCACTCAGCCATGCCCACCTCATGCACCCCCTGCCGACTATGGCACCAGGCTGCAGTGCAGTGTGGATGTGCTTCTGTCTTCTTCAGGAATTCTGTGATTCCTAGGGACTCAGCCACCTGCAGAGAAAGGGCCCGGTAGACAGGAGTTTGCCAGCTGAGCCTAGTGGTGCACACCTGTAATCCTAGCATCCAAAAAGCAGAGGCAGGAGGACTGCCATGAGTTCAAGGCCAGCTTGGACTACACTGTGAGATCCTGTCTCAGAAAACAAATAACAAAGCCAACAAAAGTTGGGCCTGGACTGGGGAATTTAGCAACTTACCAAGACCCTGTCTCAAAAGAGAAAAAAAAGGAAGGCTGGAGATAGAGCTGAACACAAAGGCCCTGGGTTCAATGCCCAGGGCTAAAAAAACAGTAACAACAGCAGCAAAATCCCCACAAATGATAGCTGCTGGTCCCTGTGCACCCATCCCCAGTTTGTAACAAAGAGAAAAGCGGCCCAGGCTTTGGCCCCAATCATTATGATCATAACATCATCACGGAGGATATGACTTTCACTTTCTTTTAGCGTATCTGTGTTTCAGAGTTTATAGGTCAGGCACTTAGCATTCTTATACCAAAGAAACCAAAACTTCACTTGTAGGGAAAGAGCCAGAGAGGTGACTGAAGGTGTCACCCCTCTGCCCTCCCCCAGCACACTCGGCCCGAGCGCAATGTCACCTGAGGGTCGATGATTTCCAAGGGCTCTGGAGTGGCAGGGGCCCGGCCCAGGTGCTCCTGACACATGGTCTTGACCCTGCTGTGCAGCTCTTCGAACTCCTTATACACGGCCGGGAAGCGGGGCTGTCCTGCGCCGCCCTCCTTGGTCTCCGTGAGGGCAGGAAACAAGAAGAGTTCACACCTATAGTAGTGACACTGACGTCCGGGGAAGGAGGGAGGAACACGGGGCCCCGTGCCGCACGTGGCCACGGCAGTGGGCCCTTCTTCCTGGGCACCTGCTGTGAGCCTGGCCACAGGAAGACAGCAGCCAGGGCGGCAACCCCCAGGCTCCACAGCACTGGGCAGGGAGGCAGAGGCTTGGCAGAACCAGGAGGGCCCAGGCTGCTGCTCTCTGACACAGCCCATGGCTCAGGGCCTGAGAGAGGCCTCCCTCACCTCTGCCCCTGCCGTGGGCTCTGTCCTGGGGAAGTGGTGCCAGCCCAGACACCTGCACATCACGGCCTCGTGGTCACAGGCCTGGAAGACTCACCTTCGCCAGGAGAAACTCATAGACGGTCACCACCTGAGCCAGCCGGGGCAGCACCAGCTCCACCAGGTCCTCTGGGCCACACTGCTGGAGTGACTGCCAAAGAGAGTGTCCACCACCTTCAGGATGGAAGACAGTTCCCCCAAAACTCAGCACCTCAACTCAAAACACTCTTTTTTGTTTTGATTTAGATTTGCTTTGGTTTGGGTAGTTTTTTTGAGACAGGGCCTTGCCTCACTTGAATCACTATGTAACCCAGGTTGGACTCAAACTCTTTTTGATCCCCCTGCCTCAGCCTTCCAAGTGCTGGGATCACAGGCGTGCGCCACCAAAGGTAACACTCTGCTTTATTAAGAACCTCACTTGTTCACCCATGAACAAAGAATTACAGTCAATTCCAGGTTCTAAGTTTGAGTACTGAATAACAGAACTGAATTCCAGGCCTTCAAGGAAATGTGAGCATTCCCTACAGGGCTCCCTGACACATGCAGCGGGCTCAGGCAGAGGAGTCAGGAGCTGTGACATCAGAGGTGTGCACCACGTTAAGGAGGTATCCGAGGAAGCAGCGGCCCCTGTGGGCCAGGGGCTGGAGGCAGAAGGCTGCAGCTGACAGGAAGGGCCAGGCTGTGTTTCCTCCCAGCAGAGGCAGGCGGAGAGGGCTTAGGGCAGGGCCCTAGGTGTCGGTGCAGGGATGGAGCCGGGGCTGGAGGCCCTGATTTGCACAGCAAAGTGCCAAGGGACCAGCAAGAGAGGGTGAGGACACAGCTAAAGACAGGGCTGTGGGTGGAAGAGAAGGCTCAGCAGCTGTAGGGTGTAAAGGGAGAAAGAACAGAAGAAAGAACAAGAACAAGCTGGGCGCAGTGGCACATGCCCATAATCCCAGCATTCAGGAGGCTGAGGCAGAAAGGTCCCTGAAAGTTCAAGGCCAGCCTGGGCTACCTAGAGGAGTGCCCTCTACAACATAGTGAGAAGTCAACCTGTGGGCTCCTCCGATGTGGAGGAGCCCGTGGCAGCCGAGGGTGGAGAGGTTTCAAGGAAGTGAGCAGAGCTCCAGAGGGATCTGGAGTCTGCTGTGAGTGGAAGGGTGTGGAGCCAGGCACTGAGGAGCTCACCCAGGGACAGGAATTGGGAGGTTCCGGCCCCTACTGAGGGCGCCTAGCAGGTACGTGAGTTCACACGCACTTCCGGGAAATCCTCTGAGTGAACATGTCTAGGTCGCTCTGTGCACAGGCGGCCATTTGTATGCTGACAGTGTCACCACCCTGGAGCTGCCGTGTACAGAGGGCAGTCCTCACCACCCCTTCCACCGGACAGACACAAAACAACCTGGACCCCAATTCCCGACCTTCCCTCAGGGCCCCACTGTGGTAGCTGACCCCTGTCAAGCGGGGACAGTGACGGCCATGGAGCTTGGTGCAGAGGCTGAGGAGCGGGGCGCCTGTGCTGCCTCCCAGGCAGCACGAAATCCTGGCGCTGTTTTCACCATCAGCCAATGATGCCAAGTGAAGCCACCAGCTGCCCACTGCTGAAAATTGATCCCCAAGGGCATCCAGCACAGCCCAGACAGAGTGAAGCAACTCCCCAGACTCCTCTGCTGGGGAAACGTGCAGCATTGCTCAAGGAACTCTGAGGAAACTACTTCCACCTCCCCTCGGAAACCCACTTGCCCACGCTGGCCTTCGCCCACCAGCTGCGGAGGACGTGTGCCCTGTGTGCCGATCTGCTGCTGAGATTCACCTGCACAGAGCAGGGGTGAGAGCACTGGGCCTCACACACAGAAGGCCCCGGGCTCCATCCTGCCTGGCAGGACAGTCTGAATATAGTTAGGGTATCATTCCTTTTAGTCAATCCAATTTAAAAAATGTTTTCTTGAGGGTCTCACTGTGAAGCCCAGGTTGGCCTCAAACTCACAGCGCTCCTGCTGCCTCGGCGTCAGCATTCAGGTACCTTTAAGAAATCTACTTTTTTAGACAATTGGAATGGAAACGAGAGGGTTGTAAACCTAAAACGTGCTTTGTAAGCCTCAGCTTTTTACAGAAAAGGAAGAAGGCCTTTCTGTTCTCTAAGTGCTTCCCTGTAGACCTGCTCATAACTTCCCCAAACTCACAAAGATGAACATCTCCGGGAGCTATGTGGACACCCTGCAGACATTTTAAACAGGTAAATGCACACCTTACATCAGACAATACTGGGCAGCCCAGGCTTGCCTCAAACTCATGGCAACCCTCCTACCTCAGCCTCCAGAGCGCTGGGATTACAGGGGTGCACCACCACGCCCGGCTCTAGCAGGTTATCTTGGATTCAGAGAGCTAACAATGATTTGCCACCTACCGTGCCAAAGAAGCTTCCCAGGCGGAGTGTAAGAGCCACGTACCTCCCAGAGCTGGGCTCTGCTCCTGCAGGTGGTGGGCCCTGTGGCCACTGCTCGCCCCCCACATGGCCGGGCTGCCCCATTCTGCAGGACACCGGTTGTGCCTGGCTCTGCCGGGCCCTCAGTGTCACCTCGTGGAAAAGCCAGAGCTGAGTGACTTCCGTTTTCTGGCTCCAGCACCATCGCCTCCTCACCTTCTATGTACTGAGTGTCCTAGATGATGTTTAACATCCAAACAAAGCAAAGCAAAATAATCATGTTCTCTATGCTACCAGGAAAGCCTTCGTGCAGAAATACGTCGAGGCAAGAACTTGCTCTTTTTCTTGTGGCTATCCTGACAACTGAACAAAGCACTATTTCTGACCTGCATCCCCAACCCTTTTTATTTTTATTTTGAGAGAAGGTCTCACTGAGTTGCCCAGTTTGTCCTCAAACTTATGATTCTCCTCCCTCTGCCTCCAAGTAGCCACAGTTATAGGCATGTGCCAGCACACTTGGCCACCAATTATTTCTTCTTCAACCTGGACTCTAACTACAACCAGTGCACCTTAGGTTTTCCAGGGATGATACCCCTTTGGCCAATAAATGATTATTAGCCAGCAGTCTCAGCTAACAAACTACCCCTGGGATGCTGATCAAAATGAAATATGAATTCCTCTGAAGTGACCATCTTAAAAACCAACCTTGGGCCAGGGGTTTAGCTCAGTGGTGCTGCCACCAGCCTCGAAAGTGCAAGAACCCAAGTTCAATCTCTGGTACCAAACAAACAAACAAATTAACCTGGTCACCCAGTAGAATGGAGCACATCTATAATCCTAGCACTTGTGAGGCTGAGGCAGGTGGATTGCCAGAGTTTGAGGGCAACCTGGGTTAGTGAGATCAAGGTCAGTCTGAACTCCATAGCAAAACCTCATCTCAAAAAACAAAACAAAGTAGGGCCGAGGATTTGGCTCAGTGGTTCCAGTGCCTGCCTCGCAAGCCCAAGGACCTGAGTTCGATCCCCGGTACCAAAAACACACACACACAAAAAAAAAAAAACAAAGTAAAACATAGCAAAATTAACCTGGTGACTGGAGATGGAGCTCAGAGTTAGAGTACATGTTTAAGAGGCACAGTGCCCTGGATTTGATCCCAAGCCACATCCCCCACAAAAACAAGGAAAATGATTTAACCTAACTGGGTGTGATGGTGCACACCTGTCATCCCAGCACTCTGGGAAGCTAAGGCAGGAGAATCTCAAGTTCAAGCCCAGCCAGGACAATTTGGTGAGACCCTGTCTCGGAATAAAAAATGAAAGAAGGGCTGGCTGAGCATGTAGGTCATTGCAAAGGCCCTGGGTTCCATCCCAGTACTGAGCAGGTGAGTCACTAGCCGACCCTTCTGTGGTGCAGAGCATGCCTGAGTTTTCACGCCTTTGGGTGGGATGTTTCTCCCTCATGCTTTTGTTGACATGTCACTTGTCTGATGTGGAAAAAAATGTCCCTAACACCCTACCAAGAAAAAAAAAAAAAAAGCACACAGATTAGGGAAATACTTGCAAATCAAATCTTATAAAGTATTAAAATCTAGAATATATAGACAAAACTCAGCAACAATAATCTTTTTCTTTCTCTCTCTTTTTGGTTTTTTAAAACAGGGTCTTGCTATGTAGTGCAGGCTGCCTTCGAACTCACTATGTGGGGTTTTTTTTCTTCTTCTGGTTCCAGGGATCAAACTCAGGACCTTGCACTCGTGTGGCAGGCACACTGCCACTGAGCTAAATATCTGGCCCCTGAACTCATTATGTAGCCCAGGCTGGCTGAACCTCCTGCCTCAGCCTTCAAATACAGTCCAGCACCACCACACACACACACACACACACACACACACACACACGGCTAACATCTTTTAATCATTACAAAAACCACTGGGCTAAGCTGTTGCCATGGTGTTGTAAGCATACAGTGAGCCCGGAAGCAATGAACGGGGAGAGGCCGCGCTCAGCGCAGCAGCTGACCCTGCTCATAACCAGAGCCCACCTGCGGGCTGCCACCTAACCGTAACTGTACCCGGGATGTGGCACTGGTCAGGAGTACATCCCATCAACCATACTGACCAGGTCCAAAGAAGTGGTGGCTGCATGCCTGCCACATGCCACCCAATGAGGCCAGGCAGCGGACGCGTATGTACTGGTCTTCCTGCTGGCAGTGTAGATAGCATGGGCCATGGCTGTATGATGATGGCCTGGCCCTACCCCCTACCCCTGGTTCATGTAAGGAGGGAAGCAGGAAGGCACAGGGGCAGGGCACTGTCACCAGGTAGAAGTGTTACCTGCGGGCCGCCCTGTGCTGCCTCTGCCCTGTCCTGGCCAGGCGCAGGCAGTGTGGGCGGCTCCAGGGAGGCCAGATGCCCCTTCTCAGGTGACGGTGTGGGCTGCAGCTGGCCATGGCCCGGGTTCAGCCTCCAGTGCCGGGCCAGTCCGCCCTGCCCAATGTAGGCCTTGTCACAGGCCGGGCACTGGAAGGCCCGGGGCCGCAGGGCACAGCTGGCGGCAGCAAACAATGCCCACGGGTCCTGCTGCTCCTCCTCGTCCCCAGCACTCAGCTCTGCGTAGTCGTCTGAGTCTGATGGCCGCCCGTCCACCAGGTCCTTTGTCTTGATGAATTTATAGTCTTTGGCTTTGTACTTGGGAGGCCGGGAGACCCGCCCAGAACGCGTCTTCACCTTCAGAGACTTTTTCAGCTTCTTGGCACACTCTGTGTGCCAGCCGGCCGGAGACAAATGCACTGAGCCCGGTGCAGCCAGGGCAGAGGCTGGCAGAGGGGTCAACATGGCTCCCTGGCCGCTCAGGGCAGGAGCAGTCTTCACCCTCTTGGCCAGCATGGGTCCCCAAGGAGCCTCAGACTGCACCCCGAGACCCCGAGGGTTGGGCCAGCTCCCAGGCAGCAGACACTGTCCTCCAGTCTGGGGTTGCGTGGTGGCTGAGGGGCGCACTGGCCTCTCCTGCCCTTTCTTATCTCCAGATGTCACCCTGACACAAATGGCTTCCAGTTGCTTCAATACAGAAAGAGGAAAACAGGAAAGAGAAGAAAAGCATTATGATGCCGGTGTCTCTGCAATTCGCCCTCACAGCAACTCCATGGTTAGAATTGTTTTAAGTTATACATCTTACATACAATTATTTGAATTCGGGTCTTTGCGCTTACAAGGCAGGCAGCAGAACCACTGAGCAAATAAATCCCCGGCCCAGGTTAAAGCAGAGTTCATCTGGGTTGGTGAATTCACTAAAGGAAGACATGAAATTGTTCCAAAAGATAAGAGGGAAGAAGCAGAGAAATATGCTGTGGAATGACTGAAGGAAGAAGATGAATCAGATGATAATTAACATTTCTTGTTTGTTTGTTTGGTACTGGGAATTGAACTCAGGAACTCCCAGGCAGGTTCTGTGCTGCTGAGCCACATTCCTGGTCCTCTGCTTTAAATTTCTATGACCATCCCTTGTAACTCTTTAGCCCCTGGATTATACATATCTGTTGATCAATTTTCTTAAAATTTTGTCTTATAAAAAATAAGTGGTCCAGGAATTGGGTACTAATGAAAGAAGGCTGAAACACATTTTGTTGGACTGAAAACTTTTAATCTGTTAGATCTATTAAACTCTAACCACCTTTTTTTTTTTTTTTTTTTTTTTTTTTTTTTTTTTGCTTGCTTGTTTGTTTTGAGACATGGTCTCACTATGTAGCCCAGGCTGGCCTAAAACTCATGATCCTCCTGCTTCAGCCTCCCAAGTGCTGGGATTACAGGTGTGTGCTACCATGCCTGACTAATCTGCTGTTTTTCAAACCTTTCAGACCATAGAACATAGGAATACACATTACATCCAAATAGTGCACATGTGCTGAAACACTTGGAGCTATGAATGAAATAAAAAGTTCATGACCTCCAGGTGCAGCACTCTAAAAAGCTGAGTAGGAAGATCACAAATTTGAGCCCAGCCTGGGAAAGTTAACAAGATCCTGTCTCAAAAAAATAAATAAATAAATAAAATAGCCAGGCGTGGTGGTGCACGCCTGTAATCCCAGCACTTGGGAGGCTGAGGAAGGAGGATCGCTGTGAGTTCAAGACCAGCCTGGGCTACATAGTGAGTTCCAGGGCAGTCTCAACTACATAGTGAGACCCTGTCTCAAAAACCAAAAAGAAAGAGAGAGAGAGAGAGAGAGAGAGAGAGAGAGAGAGAGAGAGCAAGCCTGCTTTAGTTTTCCCAGTGTGTTTTCACTTAGAATCCTCAGTACTGGATTCTAAGTTGGACTCAAGTCACTATGTAAGCTCATTTTAAAAGTTTTCTCTTCTTTTCTTTTTCTCTCAATACTGCAGATTGAACCCAGGTCCTTCATATTGTGCCACATGCCCAACCCTTTTTATTTTCTATTTGTGAGACAAGGCCTTGCTAAACATGCTGGGCTTGAATTTATAATCCTTCTTCCTCAGTTTCCCAGAGTGCTATAATTCCAAGCACCACCATGCCCAGCTGCAAAAAAGGTATTTAATGAAATTGGGGGAGGGTAAAAATAAATTTTGGAAACTAAAATAGCCACGGAGAACAACCTAACTGGGTCTGTACCACCCCCCTCTGGACAGGCAGCACTGGCGCCAGTGAAGCACTCTGATGTTCCCCAGCCTTTGCGCCTTCTCTTTCTCCAAGCCTAAATGTGCGATTATCCATCCTGTGTGTCTTAACATTTGTATTGCACAGAGTGAAACTAGCATTCTGTTTGGAGGTGCTTCAAACTTTATACAGATGCGACCATGTCCCAAAACTTCGTGGGCATCTCAAGTCATTGTTCCTGACCCTGCCCTGGGAAATGCTCCACATCTGGGTGCAGCCCTGGTGGCTCAGTCCTCTGTAGCATGGGGCGGACACTGCTCTGCTAGGCCAGCTGGCTGGTAGCTCTGTTCTGATGGTGTTCTCCGTGCCTTGCATGTGTGTGTGCACACACATTTCTCCAGGGACACACTTAAGAGTAGGGCTGCATATGTCCAAGTTTTTATTGAAAATATCTAGCTGAGTACAGTGCTTTAGTTCCAGCACTCTGGAGGCAGAGGCAGGAGGATCACAAGTTCAAGCCCAGCCTGGGCAATTTAGTGACTTAGCAAGACACTGTCTCAAAATAAAATGAAATAAAAGAGCTCAATATGCTGCTCAATGTGAAGACTTGGGTTCAATCTTTCTATGTAAAAATTTATGGAAGGGCTGAGGATTTAGCTCAGTGGTTCCGCCACCTGCCTCACAAGTGCAGGGAACTGAGTTCGATTCCTGGTATCAAAAAATAAATAAGTAAAATTAATTAATTACAGAAAATGAAAATATACAACAAATTGCCACTCCTGTAATCCCAGCACTTGAGAGGCTAAGGCATGAGTACTGCCATGAGTTCAAGGCCAGCCTAGGGTATGTAGTAAATTCAAGTTTAGCATGAACTACATAGTAAGACCATGCCCCCCCCAAAAAAGAAAACCTAACAGAATTTTTAATACATGTGCTTTTTAGGCTGGGGATTTAGCTCAGTGGTTCTGTCGCCTGACTTACAGGCACAAGGTCCTGAGTTCAATCCCCAATACTCCCCGACAAAAAAATGTACGTTTTGACCTAACAATTTCACCTTTAGGATTCCATAAAAAAAAATTCAAGCCAGGCATGGAGGTGCACCTCTGTAATCCCAGCACTCATGAGGCTGAAACAGGAGGCCAACCTGGATACACAGTGAGCTCAGGCAAGAACTACATGGTACAAACATGAGAAAAAGAAAAAAATGGAAACAAAGTTTTTGTAGATAGGGAGAGGTGGAGGGGTTGAAGGGAAGGCAGGGGAATGGGGAAAAACTAAAAACCAAGATGGATTATATAAATGTGCAAATTTCTGATGAAGGTCACCACATTGTATGCCTTAAATTTAGCAAAAAAATTAATTTAAAAAAAGAAGAATTACATAGCACAGTGGACCCTCGAGTTGCGACTGGCCTGGCTTTCAAACAACTTGAGCTACAGCTACAATTTTAGTTTTAACTTATGAACAAAGTCTTGAGTTACTACTCAAATGCTGGCTGCTTGTGCTTTCAGATGGTCTCAGACACAGACTTAACCTTTAAAGAGCTCTGGAAGGAGCATTACAGCATCCTTTCCTGGGTGGGCCAGCATCTCTCTGAGGACACTGAGATCTGTTTATGTGCAGGAGAGACTGTGAAGGCCATGTAGAGGAGCCTGAGCCTTCATTGACCAACTTGAGTTACAAGCTCTCAAGAACAAATTGAGTTCTAAGTCAAAGGTCCATGCAAGACCTTGTCAAAAAAACCACAAAAAAGCCCCCAAACCCCACAAGTGTGGTGAGAATAAGAATGGCCCAGGGGATGGGGTTCTCAGAAGAGTGAATGCTGAGGAGGGCTTTGAAAGCTGCAGAATCCTTGCCACATGAGAGAGGGTACCTGTGTGTCTAGGCTTAAGGAAACCATGAGCCAGTACCAGGCGGGATGACGAGGCCCCCGTGTGGTGGAAATGTTCCTGGGTGAGGACTGGAATGACAGGGACAGTGACTCCATGCTTCTGACCCGCACCAGGCCTTCAGTGAAGCGCTGAGCCCCCTGCCCTGGTGCCCCGTCTCTCCTCTCCTGCGGCCTCAGTTCAAACCTACCCTCTTCACCTTGTTCAAACACCCACAGGGTCCAGATCCCTGCCTCAGATGTCCTCTCTCTTTCGGTAAAGGCAGTTAGTCCTTTTCCTCCGTCTCCACCTGTCTGATGTTGACTAGAAGCACTCTGGGTCAGCCTTTACTTCCTGTGTCTACACGCATGTCTCCCTGGAGACAAGTGCAGGTCTCCTTTGCCTTCTGGCCTCTGTGGCATACCTGAGGCTGGAAGCTTATTAGCAAAATGGGCCCCAAAGGGACATCACTGTGGTTGCAAGTGGAGCTTACCCCTTTGCCACTAGACTGGCTGCAGAGGACAATCCTATCATGCGGCTTGACCTGGATTAGGTTTTTCTACTTGATGGGAATGTTATTGTTGGTATCTTTCCAAAGTTGCTATGCCAAATGCAAGACATGGCCACAGATACAGTAAGGACAAAGTCACCCAAGAGTAGCCACACCTGCAGGGCCTTAGGCAGAATTACACACTCTGAGCTGGGAATGGAGCGCTCAGCCACAGTGGCTAGCTGGGAAGGAGCTCTGCAGACAGGAGCAGCCCCAGCATGGTATCCCACAGCCTCCCGATAGGGCCTGCTAAGCACAACAGTGACAGAGGCACTGGGCTCTTCAGCAGAGAACCATGTGAAGAGGCTGAGTGGCCTAAGGCGATGGCCCAAGTGTAGCGTTGGGGAAAAATATACACTTGTCTTACAAGACAGCTCTCCAATCATTTTTTCCCCTTTTCATTGTATTGGGAATGAACCCCAGGCCTTTGGACTGTTATATCCTTGGTCCTCTTTATTTTGAGATAGGGTCTCACTAAGTTGCCCAGGCTTGGTTCAACTTGTGATTCTCCTGCCTCAGCCTCCCAGAATGCTAGGATGGCAGGCATGTACCACTATGCCCAGCCAGCTCTCCAGTCTTGATGGTCAACTGAGTTTAAGCCTGTGCAACCAAAATCACTTGGTCAATACCCTATTTCTTCCAGTAGAAGAAGTTTTTTGTTGGTGGTGATTTTTTGTTTGCCTTTGCAATATTGAGGAATTGAACCTAAAGCCTTTGCACTGAGCTATATCTCCAGCTCTTCTTTTATTTATTGAGACACATTCTTGCTAAATCACTAAGCTGCCCACACTAGGCTGGTACTTGTGAGCCTCCTGCCTCAGCATCCCAGAGTGCTGGGATTACAGGTGCACTGCCCTCATGCTCAGCTACAAGCTCTTTTCTTTTGGCAATTTTAAGATGAGAAGTTTTTGTCATTTACAACCCAGAGCAAAAGGGACGTGATTCACACTAATGTGTAGGACCTCCAGCTTCAGAGGCTACCTGGATCCCCAGCGCAGGAAGCCACACTCTAGTGTCAACTACCCCAGAGGCCAAGACCTGTGTGACCTGGGAAAGACACCCAATTAGAACAGATGCTGTCACAGAGTGTATTCATGAGTCTTGCTCTCTAAGTTGTCCTGCACACTGGGCTGGGCACTGGGGTCACAAATCACAGCCACTGCCACTCCAGACGCTGCTACTGCAAATTACTAGAGTAAGTGCTGGATTTTGTCCTGAGTCTGCCTTGGCACTGGCTGCGCTTCTCATCCCACAAGAGCTCTGCGTGGTTTCCTTTAATGAATCCAGGTCTGGGCTGCCGCATCAGGCCCAGGGATCCCCGGATCTGTCTTATGTTCTTCATCACGTGTGTGCCAGTGTACCCCTGCACCTGGGGCAGTGCCGGACGCAGTGGGGGCTCAATAAATGCTGCACGAACCAAGGTCGTGGGAAGAGCAAGGCGAGGCGAGCAGGGACCGCGGAGCTCGGCCCGGGTAACTAGAGCTCTAAAGTGGCGACAGGACCACTGCAGCCGGGTCGCCCAGAGGCCGACGAGTCCGCCCCGGCCCCCTCCGGGCCTGTTTCCCTCCTACCCTCGGCGCCTCACCTGGGGCGGCAGCAGA